AGCCTGGGTGCCATCCTCCTTGAGGTGACCTTCCACCTCGTCGTTCTGGGGACCGACAAGAACCTTGACGGTTTAGCGGGGGACCTTGACCCTACCTCCGGCTTGGCGGTTCCCTTGTCTGCCAACCCCCTGTGCACCCGGTCCTTGGCCTCCTATGGCCTGGCCCCTTTGGCCATGGCCTCCTCTACTTTGCGGTCTCCCTCCAGCCGCGACAACGACATAGGACCTCCCCTGTCCCTCGCTGCTGTCCTCTTCCTCAAGGCCCCACTCAATCTGACTATATGGGACCCCATCTGTACCACCTTCCTCTAAGGTAAGGATCATATAATCCTTGGCCCTCACTTGGCCTGAGATGGTACGACCTTTCCACTTCTTCCCCTTGTCTAAGTCCTTATGCCAGAAAGTGGTAACTGGCATATATTTGGCTTCAAACAACACCACCTCTCTACTGAGCGCATCGTACGTCATGGTGGGCTGTTGGGATTTGTCAAAGAAGTGCCCTCGTAGGGGCTCTGGCATGGCACGATAAAATAATTGGACCAACTAGGACTCAGTCACCCCATGGTCCGAAACGACCGCCAGGTCGTCCATCACGGCTTTGAGTGCCTTGGCACTCCTCCACTGCCGTGAGTGGATGGTTTGGAATTTGTCAGAGGCTCTAACGCCTCTGCAAAGATCAGCGAATCGCTCCCTAAGGAGCTTGAAGAATTGAGGGAGGGGGGTAACCTTGGAATAGGCGACCATGTTGTTTTCACAACCGGCCGCGCGCGCGAGAGACCTAGCAAAACTAGCCGCTTCGTCCTTGAGGGCCTGGAAGGCTACTAGGACCTGATCGTCCTGTACGATGTGCTGTAAGTAAACGTAACTGTTGATGCTAGCCTCCCAGTTATCGAAGTTCTCGTCAAATTTCCCACCATAAGCATCGGGGAACTTTAAGTTTGACTGGTTCTTTGCGGGGTCTGGCCTCGCCCTCAGCAGCGGCTACTACTTTGGCGCCCTCAATGGCACCCTCATTGAACTTCCTCACGTTGTCTCTCAGCTGCCTGACTTCCTCTCCAACGTGGGTAACCATCTCACACGCAAAATCCCGAAAACCGGACCGCATGGCCTTCAGGGCTACCTCTTGAGCTCTATTGGCTTGGCGTTCCTCCATCCAAGTTGAGCTCAACACCTCCAGGTACCCCAACACCTTATCCCATTTGGCCGAGGTGTCTATCTGAGCCTCCACCTCCTGCCTACAATCCTTCACCTTCGCCACCTCTGCGGTCAACCTGTTAACTCCATCCCTCCTTCTCTTCTTTTCCCTCTTCATTCTCAATTTCGACTCCAACTTTTTATCCTCCTCTCTTTCTTGTCTTTCCAGGGGGTCCTCCATTGCTGCTACCTCCTGAGCTAACGCATCCCTCTCGTCTTGGGGCACATAGAACTCTGCCTCCTCATCCTCCCCCAACGATAAATTAGCTATCCACCCGCTAATCTTCTTCTCCATCTCTGCGTCTTCATCCCTCTTCGTGCCACTACTCTCCTCTCTACTTTCAATACGCATTCTCTTTTTTTCTTCTTCTGATGCTGCTTCCTCTTAGGCAGCCTTTCTCCTCTCTTCCTCCTCCTGCTGAACTCTCATCATCTCCTCCTCCAAGTTTTTCATCTTCGCCGCCTGCTCCTCTGCGATAGCCTTTAGCTTCGCCTGTTTCTGGAGCTCTTTCCTCTCGTTGTTCTCTCTCACTAAGGCGGCCATCTTTTCTTGTTGTTCCTGGGTGTAGGGGCTAGTGCTCTTCCCACTACGCAAGTCCACCATGGTGATAGGTGCACAATCAGGACGATTCCACTCCTCACCACTTAGACGCTAACCCCCTGACTGACAAACCTATAGACTCGATCAAAAGACTCACAGAATCCGGACAGGGATCCTGTCAACTAGGGTCTCTAGACTAGACCTACACTATGGCTGTCACTATACCTGTTGCTGATCAGGAGGCATTTGAGGAGATCCCCGGTAACTCCTCAGGAATTATTTAACGTTGCAGACAGGACGACACGATCAGCAGGTCTCTCAACACTTAGACGGCCTGTTGTGAAGCCCACAGCTCGGATTTTGGGCCTACCGTGCCACACCGAGCAGCCCGCCGGTCAGTACCGGTCCTTGGGAGGGTTCGTGTCCTCCGGGACAGTCGAGTCGTTAGACACAGTCTTTAGCCGTACTCAGCCCGTGTGGGTTTGGTCAACAAGGCCCTATCCTTCATCCACAGAGTGCTATCACCTAGACAGAAGAGACTCAATGCAGAAAGAAGAGACAGGCAGACTGGACTCAGCAAGTACCACAGGGTATGTGCACATCCATAGGGCGAGGGATAGGCTGAGGGCTTGGCGAGATTTTACCGGCTCCAGCTTGGTCAAAGTCAACGCCTCGGTCATCTCTCTCTCTCTCTCTCTCTCTCTCTCTCTCTC